TATAAATAGATAACAGCGTTTAAAACGAAGTACAGACTCTTTAAGTACACGGTTATACTATTTGGATTAACGAATACGCTAGCAACCTTTTAATTAGTTATTAATAACGCACTCTATAAGTACCTTAGAATCTTTATTACCGCGTATCTAGATGATATACTAGTATACTTCAGCGGTACACGCGAAGAATATATTAAGCATATTAAGAAGGTTTTATAAAAGCTTAAAGAATATAAGCTATACCTTTAACTAGGAAAGTATAAATTCTATATATAAGAAACGGAATTTCTTAGATTTATTATATTAACTAAAAGAGTAAAAATAAACCTAAAAAAGATACAGACTATATAGAAATAGCTAAAGTCTAAAATAGTTAAAGACATCTAGTTCTTTTTAGGATTTATAAATTATTATTAAAAGTTTATTAGAGATTATTTAAAGATTACAGCACCCCTTATAGAAGTAACGAAAAAGGAAATAGGTTTTAAATAAGAATAGGAATATTAAGAGGCTTTTAATTAAATTAAGTAGATATTCCTAGAGGCACTAGTACTTAAGATATACAGCTCTTAACAACCTACTAGAGTTAAGACCGACGCGTCTAACTACGCACTTAGAGCTATACTATCATAGCAGTACCTAGATAAAAAATAGAGACTAGTGTTCTACTATTCACGAAAGTTCTTAGGAGCAGAACTTAATTACAATATTTATAATAAGAAACTACTTAGAGTAGTTAGTTAATGTCTTTAAATAATAGAAAGTATACCTATTAGAACTCCCCAAATAGATTAAGGTTTTTACTAATTACTAGAACTTAATAAGTTTTATAATAATAAAAAAACTTAACTAATGATAAGTGTAATAGGCAGAAATGCTAGCCTAGTTCAACTTTAAGATCACGCACCGTATAGGAACGCTTAATAGAGTAGTAGACGCTTTAAGTAGAAGGTCTAATTTGCGCGAAGAGAGTTATAAGGAACTATATAACGCCTTACTTAAGAAGATACCTAATAGTAGTCTAAAGTATAACTAGCTAGAACTAGCTAAAGTAGCTAAGATGGCTAAGCAGATAGAACTGCTATAACAGTAATAGCAGTAGTAAGCAGCTAGCTAGTAGTTTAAGCCCGACGAAGCAGGCTCTAATAAACTATTAAACGACAAATAAGAGTACTAAGATATAGTTTTAAAGAATTAAACATATATACCTCTATATATAAGATTAAGTCTTATATAGGAACTATATAAGTTCTAAGAGTATAAATATGCAGAAATTAAAGAAATAGTTAGATAACTAGCTAAGGTGTTTATAATACTACGTATACGTACGAAGGTGTAGAAAATACTAGATAACTATTTAGTATATTACTAGAACAAGCCTAAGAGATATAAGCTCTATAGCCTATTATAACCCCTACAGCTACTATCTAGACTATAGATAAGTATAATAATAGACTTTATAGTAAAGCTTCTAAAATCGTTAGAACTAGAATTAGCTTAATTTTACGACATAATCTTAGTAATTATAGACTAATTAACTAAGGCAGCGAAATTTATACCTATAGAAGAGACTATTATAGTAGATAAATGCGCGTATAAGGTTATAAAGGCACTAGTATTAGAGTATAGAATACCTAAAGAGTTTATCACCGATCGTAATAAACTATTTATATCTAAATACTAGAGTACATTCCTAGTAAAGTTAGGTATTAAGAAGAAGCTTTTAATAAGCTTTTACCTAGAAACAGACAGCTAAACGGAACGAACAAACTAGATATTAGAATAGTATCTATGGATATATGCTAATAAGTTATAGAATAACTAGATAGAACTACTACTAATAGCGCAATTAGCCTATAATAGTATAAAATTAGTAACGACGAAGTATTCGCTGTACTACGCGAACTATAGATATAAGCTAACTACTTATTAAGATCTAAAGGATATTAAAAGTATCGTAGTAGGAGCAGACGATAAAGTGAAGCTTATATAAAAATTATATAAAGAATTAAGTAAGAATATAGCTTAATAGAACCTTACGATATCTAAAATAGTAAATAAACTAAGAATTAAGGGACTAATCTTTAAGAAGAGGAATAAAGTTTTCTTATTATAATAAAACCTAAAAACTAAATAACTATATAGAAAATTAGACAACCTCTAAATAGGACTATTTAAAATTCTAGAGAAAATAGAAAAAGTAAACTATAAGTTAAAACTTCTATAAGGTATATAAATCCACTCTATCTTTTATAAGAAACTTTTAAAACTAGTATCTCTAGATACTAAGCTAGTAATAGATATAGAGCTTAAAGACAACGAGTATAAGATTAAAGAAATTAAGAACCTATAAAAAATTAGTAGTTAGTAGAAGTACTTAGTTAAGTAGTAAGAATAGTCTAAAAACTATAATACTTAGGAACCTAAAGGAAACCTAATAAACTATAAGTTACTAGTACGTAAATACTACTAGAAGCACCTAGAGAAGCGAGGGGAAGCCCCTTAAAGAGGAAGGAATAATTAAAAAAAGAATTAAAGAAGTTAGCCTATAACTAGCCTAGATTAGCTAATAGTTTAAATAGCGGTAGTTTAATAACAGGAAGGCCTATACTAGAGGCAGAGTTTCTCTTAGCTTACTCTTTCGCCTAGTTCTAAAGACTTAGAATGGCATAATCTTAATTAGTAAATTCCCGCTCCTGCGCCTTAACCTCTAGAAGCTTATAATAAAGATAGGCAGTCTCTATCGCGGCTTAAAGTTAGCGTTCCTTAGTACGAGCGATTTTAAGACGTTTTTACTGCTTTTTAGCTTTAACCTTCTCCTACTCTTCCTTAAACACGAAAAGACTATACTTAGCAGAAATAGAAATATAACTAGTATAGCGACTAGTTACTATATCTATAAAATACTAAAGATTTTTCTCTTTATAACGTTTATAATAGAAAGTTATTTCGCGACCTTATTCCCTTATATAGTTAGTATAGGCCTAACGTTAAGAAGTCGAATTCTAAGTACGGACGCGGCGGTTTAACTAGATCTTTAGTATAGTTAGGAAGGCTATAAGGCAGAGACGGCTATAATAAGTAGACAGGCTCTAATCTTATATACAGCCGGCGTCTCAACACGCAGCATAGGAAAACGATATTCTAGGGTATTAAGATAATAGCCCTAAGAGGGGAGGTAATGTTACAAGTAACAAGAAGGATTCTCTCCTTAATAAATAACGAGATGGCTGAAGGCCTAAGGACGTCTACGTTAGAAGGTAATAATCATCGTGGGGCGAAGATCACGTGACTGGCTTCACGCTAAGACTAAGTATCCCGCGCTAGTATATGAGGACACCCTCACACGTGACTAGATGTCTTTAGGGACTTCAGAAGATACAGGGATTATTTCGTAAAGACCGTGAAGCTAGGACTAGAAGTAATAAGGATATAAGGATAGATGGATTTCATTATTACTCTCGTTGTAGTCAACTCAAATTGTACTTTCTTACTAGTTACTTAACTTCACAAGATTGATACTTGTTAGTCTATTCGATATAGATTAGGAATTGTCAAACCTATTGTTATCTATCTTTTAAGCACGCCCACTCCACTGCATCGCCAGACAACTACCTCACGGCGCTATTCATATATCCTTACTCGCCCTAACCCGGATCGAGCTTAGAGAAGTACCAGCACCCAACCCCGTGTAACACGCGCGCGCTAAAAAGGCACGGGAACGCGCTGCTAAAACCTTATAAAAATCTCCCGATAGGCAGAATATAGCTAAGTAAAAAGCTTTATTAGCTTAGAATAGAAAAATACTAAAGCAGCGTTATATTGTAGAGGCTGAAAGTAGTAGTACTAATATATCACTACCCGCTAAGCCTCCTACTAAAACTACCACTTACGGCCGCAGTGTGCGGTTACCCAGCAAATATTAGTAGATATATATCAAATATACGATTATATCAGTACTCCACCAAAAAATCTCGCGATAATAACGTTCTAGTAGTAGTTAAAAGCTTCATTTTTTGGTAGACACGCATTTTGGTGGGGTGTTACATTGGGTGAACTGTTGCACGCACTGACCACACGCAGTAGGCCTTATACGAAAGGATATTAAAAATCTATTAAGCTACTATAGAGAACAGGTAGGGTTTTATATCAGCAGATCTGCTCTAGGCTAGTACGTGCCTATATTCGGATCCCTTTCAGATGTTAGTTCGATAGGTACTCGAACTATTACACAACCCAACCATAACCTAACCCCTATTTATTTGCTAGCCTACTTCTAACAAAGGTGTTTATAGGCTTTCGACTATTTTATTACTTACTAACAGATATCCTCTTTTTACTTATAATAAGTAATAGCCTAATAAGAATATCTATAACAGAAAAATTAGATTATGATAATACAGAGCAGAAGTCATATAGTGTAATTAGGAAAAGAGTTATAGTAGGTTAGTATTAGAAGATAATGCACTTATAGATTTGGATATGTGTAAATTAGAACAAAGACTGACGTTGAATTCAAAAAGGTATCTCGGGCGTTAGAAGAATGTACCCAAACTGAACCGATGACTTTTTCCGTCCGTTTCCAGGTTTTGAGACTTCCCGATGCCATCCACTAACAAAAAAAACTCACATGCTACCACAGTATCGTCTTAGGGTTTGTCGACAAGTGTATGCTTGCAACACGCCCACGGGCAACCCACTAATCAAATCAGCCGTACAGTGTCGTGCGAGATGTCAGTGCTGCGCGGACTTTGGTCGTTAAGGAAATAAGAATAGGCTAATGTTCATAGTACTCCAGATACTCCATAGGTCTCATGCAAAACCAAAGCAAGACCATCGATGCAAACGCCGCTCATATGCCGACGCCTTATTGAGTGCTTTCTATCAGTGATGGCGGCTGATGATGTGGAATAAGTCGCAGCCGGTTATTGTGCTGTAAATCCAAATATATATCGGAAGGTGTATCGTGGGCGAGAGGGTGAAGAAACAAATGTGGCACCTCACAAGATGACACATTTGGGTTTGTCCTTGCCGCGCTTGTTGCCTCCAGTCATGCCAGTACCGCGTGTGCGTCGATCGCCTCCGCCTCGTGAGCGATCCTTTTCGGAGTAGCCAGGGCGCGTCCGAGTTTCTTTTCGGTCGGTGGGGGAGCGGCCAGTGCCCTGGTGTCGTTGTCTTCGGAGCTGTCTAACTACATCAAAGAAGGCCTTTTCGACATTGACGCAATTCTTGGCGGAGGCCTCGACAAAGTCGCAGCCGAGGTCTTTTGCAAGAGCTTGTCCCTCTTGGGTCGACACTTCGCGTTCGGTGACGCGGTCGCACTTGTTGCCAACGAGCATGACGGGTGCCTGACCAAACATGGGAGCAGATGCAGTCATGGGCGAGCCGGGGTAAGTGGGTGAGCCAGCCATGGAAGATTCCTTGACGCGTTGTATTTGGCTGTGGAAGCGTTGTATGCGGGCAAAAGAGGAGCGCGATGAGATGCTGTAGACGAGCACAAAGCCCTCGCCGTCGCGTATCCATTGGTCTCGTAAGGCAATGTACTCTTCTTGGCCGGCTGTATCGAGCACCTCGAGCATGCACGACTGACCATCAATCTGCACCTGCTTTCGATACGAGTCCTCGATGGTAGGATCGTATGTCTCAACAAAATGGTTCAAGCACAACTAGCAAATGTCAGCTTTGTCAGACACAGAGTGGAAGGACAAGAGGAGGGGAATCAAAATACCTGTATAGTCAGGGCAGTCTTTCCAACACCTCCATCGCCCAGCACCACCAATTTGTACAAGGTCATTTTCCCTGCCATGGCGGCGGTAGTGGAGTAGATGTAGTGGTAGTGTGTGGTATGCGCCGATGCCAAAGGCGAGGCAAAAATCAGGTTATGTAGGACAACGGGTAGGATAAGGTGCGAGGCCCAGGATTTTTTTTAGTTTTATTTTTTTCACAGAATGTCGCAGATGAAAGTAGTAGCTTCGAAGTCGACCGGTAGGCTCAGCTTAGGTTGCGATGCCACGGAGAAGGGGGCGAGGAGGGGGGGAGAGATAGGGAGAGAAACGGGGAGAGAGGGAAGAAGCGAGAGTCCAAACGGGCGCGCGAGACCAAGGGGGCGGCGCAGGTAGGATGAGCGTCGTCGGGGGTCGTGGTTGTGTCCGACGGCGGTCGACACTCGCACAGCAGGACAGGTGCGCGTGTCGACGGGCTGCGGGAGGCAGTGGAGGATCGAAGGGGGAGTGGTGAGGACAATGGTTGCACAGGCAGATGGCGAGGCGGAAGCGTGGCGTGTGCCGCAGGGTGGATGCGGAAACGGCGGCGGCAGAAGCGAGCGGGGAGGGAGGTGATGGGCCTGAGGCAGCTTGGACAGGCGAAGGTGAGGAGAGGAGAGGTTAAGTGAAGCGAGGCGCGGCGCGGCGCAGCGAGGCGAGGGCGACAAGAGGGTGGTGGCAGCAACAGCAGCAACAGCAGCGGCGGCAGCACCAGCAGCGACAGCGACAACGACAGCGACAGCGACAGCGGTAGCACCAGCACCAGCAACGAGGCGGACGGGTGCAGGCAGGGAGAGATGGACGGATGGGTGAGGGTGAGTAGGTGGATGGGGTGGATGGGTGGACGGACGGACGGACAGGCAGGCAGGCAGGCAGGCAGGCAGGCAGGCAGGCAGACAGACAGACAGAATGACGGACGGACAGGGTCGAGATCAAGGGAGATGTTGGGCGAGCCGTGGCAGTCTTGGTCAGGGTTCTCTGGCTGCAGTGGCTCGTGTGCCCACGTGAAGAGAGCGCTGCTCCGGCCGGGCGGGCGCTGGCTCAGCCTGTGCGCAAATCACCTATCAACCACCTCCACCTCCACCACCACCACCACCACCACAACAACAATAACAACAGCAACAAAAATAATAATAGCAATAATAATCACTTCGGGCATCGACACACACGCGGTGGGCGAGGGCGGGACAGGCAGTCAAGGTGACGGGAGGAGTGGGCGAGGTCAAAAGAAACGCGCGATTAGGTCAACATGGGCGGCCGGGTTTTTTGAGGTTGGCTCCCCTTCCCTTGGGCTGCCCGACCTCAGCATGCGCCTAGTCCTGTCCAGGCCGCTCTGTCGACGAGCAGCACCGCACTGCACTGCACTGCACTGCACCCGCCGTTGCTGTATGTATGTATACATGTACATACTCACTAGATACATCCATGTCTCTGAGTAGCTTTGTCCAAGTTTATACATGTCTTCATGTATATATAGATACAGGTATATATACACTCTATATACCCTATATATATAGCCGTACATGGCTTGCATGCTCCGAGTGCCAATAGATGGACTTGCTCCATTGCCTGGTGGGTTATACGCCGATGCCGTGGTCCATGGTGCTGGAAACAACGCACTGCTCACTGCCCGTTGTGTCCCCCCTCGCCAAACGCCATATTAGCACGCATGCTAACGCGAGTGCTCGGCACTACGGGTGCGTGCCGGGGAGAGACGCAGCGCAAGTATGTACATAGTTGGGCACTGGCCTCGCAGCCCTCTGCTCTGAGACGGGCTGGTGTCGCTGTGATTCGACGGCAGGGGCCGTGGTAAGTCCGCTTCACTGCAGTCCAAATAGCCGTCGCCCGGAACGCGCCTCGGCGCCCCAATGTGTCTGGCTAAGTAGAGTGTATGTATGCATGTACTTATGGCATGTGGATGGGTTGATGGATGCATGGCTAGATGCATTGCTGGATGCATCCATGGCTGCGGATTCAGACAGGCAGTGCTGTCATGGCCTTGAATGGCCCCCATCCGCTCGCCCATTGTCATTCCCATTCTCGGCTCAAGGGCGCAAAGCTTCCGATAGCAAAGGCGCCAGGGTTTCAGTCAGTCGGGGTGGTGCTCTCTCTCACTCTTTCTTTCTCTCTCCCGCTCGGGGAACAGGAGCCTGAGCCGCGACAGCTTGTAGCCGAGCTGGGGGCATCACCGTCGATTCTGATTCGACAGGCGCAGGAGGAGGAGCAAGCTCCACGACGCGCGGGCGGACTGGTGCTGCGTGTGCGTGTCCCTATCGCCTCCAACACGCCTGCTTCTGGCCTGCCGCCGGCCGCGCTCCGGCCCGCCTCATTGGCCCACTGCGCCCTGCTGCCCCCTGCTACTGCTTACCCCAAATCCCATCACTCCACCGCCTCCACCATCCGCCCTCCCCATCCACTCACTATCGCCCGCAGCTTCCTGCAAGCACGTGTGTCGCCGGGCCCCCGGGCCATCGCTTGGCCGCTTTCTGTCTACCCACCAAGTATATACTTACTACATTTACTTACTACCTAGTTGGTCCTACCAGCTCCACTGGCTGGCTGACCGACACAGCCAAGTACACATCGAGAACCACTGCTTTGTCCTCTCGTCGACTTTCTGGGAAGCGGCCCGCTGCAATCCCGGCGCCGTTGGCATCCATGCTCTCTCTTACTCTACTTACTTATCCTCCATCCCACGCCATCGTCATCCTCCTCCTCCACACAACCAACTAATGCCCAAGCACAGGCACAAGCACAATCATACTAGCCCGCACATGGCCCGCTTAACTCAAATCCCCCGCCCTAGCTCGACTGCCTCTGCGAGCTGCTGCCCTATGGCGACGCCCTGTCATGTCATGCCAAAACACTGGCACCACGCAGCAAGCAACTGTGCCGAAATCATCCTTCCTTAGCTACCCTGGCCTGCCCTCACTCCCCCAAACCTCCACCCCAATTCTATACTTACTACCAAGTAGTAGATAATAGTATGTAGTAGGAGTAGCAGTAATAGTAGTAGTAATAGTAGTAGTAATAGTAGTAGTAATAGTAGTAGTAGTAGTAGTAGTAGTAGTAGTAGTAGTAGTAGTAGAAGGACTATTCACAGCTTTGCACGCGCTTCTGTTGCTCGGTGTAGCCCTTTGCCCCTCTGATTAAAGTACTCACGAATCTTCTCCCTCGCTACATGGACCGCCTCGCCGTCCTCAATCGTGCTGGGTACCTGGACTTCCTTGTCAAACTCGCCATGCGTCGCGTTCTCGAGCAGCTCTCGCAACACTCGCCGCAGCGTCTTGCCGCTCCTCGTCTTGGGTATCATGCCCTTTCCCTGAATGATGCCTCCCAGGCTAGCAATGGCACCTATCTGCTCCCGTACAAGCCCTTGAACCTCGCCAAACAGCCCTTCGTCCACCACGGCCGATTCTGGATGGTCGTGCCTAGACAGAGTAACAAAGGCGAATGGCAAGTGCCCCTTCAAAGCATCAGGAATTCCCACCACAGCCGCTTCGGCAATCCATCCATGAGACGTGATTGCTTGCTCAATGGCGCCTCATCGTCGCTGTTAGCATATCCACACCACTTCATACATGCTAAACTCAACTTACCCGTGCTGAACCGGTGCGCCGCAACATTGATCACATCGTCAGCTCGCGCCATGATGGAAATATATCCTTCCTCGTCCATCATACCCGCATCTCCCGTGTCAATCCACTTGCCATTGAACCTCTTCAAGTAGCCTTTGTAGAAGCGTTCTTCGTCTTCCCACAGCGTTGTGAACGCCGTCGGAGCCAAAGGTGTCGCCATGACAATGTTGCCCATCTCGCCCCTCGCAACCTCGTTGCCATCGTCATCCACCACCCGCACATCAAACCCCGGCATGGCCTTGCCTGCCGAGCCTGGCTTGATTGCAAGTGGCTTTGGACGCTCTTGACAAGAAAAGTCCAGTCCTGACGATGCGCTTAGTGCAATCCCGGAAATAGGAGAACCCGACTCTGATGACCACCAATTATCTACCACCACTGCGCCCGGAGCGCAATATTTGGCCAACAACTCCTGATACATACGAATAATACTCGGCTCACTTCTCTCCCCTGCCAGAAATAGAGCTCGAAGTGTCTTTAGTGCACCCCTTCTGCCTCTTGCTTCAAAGAAGTGGTTTTCGCCATCATCCCTTCGAATCGCCCTCAGAGCTGTTGGAGCGGTGAACATGGTTGAGACGTTGTATTCTTCCACAATTCGCCAAAATGTACTTGCGTCTGGAGTCCCGATTGGCTTGCCTTCGAATAGGACTGTCGTTGCGCCAGCTAGCAACGGGGCGTAGACAATATACGAATGTCCAACAACCCATCCAATGTCGCTTGCAGTAAACATGACATCGCCTGCACCATGAATGCCAAAGAGGTACTTGATAGAAAAGTTGAGGCCCACGGCATGCCCCCCTGCGGAGCGAACCACGCCCTTTGGCAGCCCAGTCGTTCCCGACGTGTAAATGATGTAGATTCCATCTCCACTCTTGACCGGTACAGCGTCAGCCTTGAGTCCTCGATTTCTCGCACTCTTGACCAGTCGCTGCCAGTTCCGCTGCCCGTCTTCTTTGAGTATTGGGTCCCATCTCAGCTGCTCTCTTTGCCACACAATGATTTTGGATGGTTTGAATTCACTCTTATCAACCGCTCCCTCAATCATGCTCTTGTACCCAGTCGGCTTCTTTGTTCCTTCAATCCCGCACGAGGCTGTCATGATTGCCACGGGCCTACTTGCTTCAATTCTCTGTGCCAGTGCCGCCGAGCTGAAGCCGCCAAAGACGACGGCATGTATGGCTCCAAGGCGAACAATAGCCAGCATGGCAAACAGAGCAGCTGGCACCATGGGCATGTAGATGAGAACGACATCCCCTTGTTTGACTCCCTCCTCTCTCAGTACGCCTGCGAGCGTCTCTACTTCTTGTAGCAGTTGCCTGTACGTGTACCGCTCTTTTTGGCCAGTTACTGGACTGTCCCAGCAAATAGCAATGTTGTCTCCATTTCCGTTGGCCACGTGACGGTCAACGCAGTTGTAAGTTGTCGAAATCTCGCCGTCCGCAAACCACTCCCAATGCTCATGCGACACTTTACTCTTCTTCAGATATTTAGTCGTTTTCCGGCATGCATGCGATGGCTCTATGTGCCAGTAAAGATTGGCTGCCTGGCGCTTCCAGAATGCCTCAGGATTGGAGATTGATGCTGCATAGACTTGGTCCTGGATGTGTTGATGTGGCGTCATGGTTGGGTTTGAATCTGGATATGAAGGCGAGCTGCACAAGACGAGACTGTGACAATGGGCTGTGGTCTGGTTTCATTAGCAGTCAATAGGCGCCTTGGATGGAAGAGCATCTAAATTGCGCAAGAGCTCCGTTTTTGTCATGACGCATCGGTCTAAAGGGCCGTGGAGGAAATACCTCGGAACGAACAGCTTGGACATGCCCAGATCTCCGTAAAGCACTAAGTAGTAGCGGGGAAGCACTAACTTGATTGGGATGCAGTGTCACTGAAGACATGTAAAGCCAGGAACATGCACAGAGACCACACTCGGGCTTCCGCGTTTGCAGCCTTCTATATAATGTCGAGCATGATTGCACTTGCTGAGGCATACGTTGTTCGCGAGGGCGAATCTGTCTGATTGCTGTTCGCCCCGTCCCCACCACGGTCGTGTTGTCGGCTCTCATGTTCGAGCACTGGACAAGCGCAGACGAGTGGGCACTTTGACGCAGGGCACCACGGGCATGATCAGATATATTAGGAGTCGCAGGACAAAGCGAACATTTCATTGCACCCAAGCATACTGTATTCTGCCATCAATCTACGCTGCTCACTATCCAATTCATCAGACATCAGACTATTTCCGAATATTATCCGAGTGACGTACTATATAATCGACCATGGAACCATCATACTCGTGGCTAGACCAAATAGCCCTCAACTCGTCAATACCACTGCCCAAGGTCGCTCCAAGGCTTATCATAGGCATCACTATGGCTCTGTCCCCGACACCTCAGGCCCTTCTTTTTGATGTCTTTGGTACCTGCGTCAACTGGCGCAAGTCCATCGTTAGCGCCCTGTGTGACAAGGCTCACGAGTCGCTCAATGCCGCCACTGCATCGCTAGCTTCTCAGCTTCGACTACGAGCTTCTGCCATGACGGAAGAAGATTGGGGTCGATTTGCACAGGAGTGGAGAGACAGCTACAAGGTCTTCACCAAGAAACTCGCGGCGGATCACTCGTCCACTTGGATGACCGTCGATGACCATCACCTCAAGTCACTCAAGGAGCTCATAGCCAAGTGGCAGCTCCAAGGCTTGTGGGAAGAGCATGAGATTCGCGCTCTGAGCCTTTGTTGGCATCATTTGGTGCCATGGGACGACTCTGTTTTGGGTGTTCAGCTACTAAACCAGCTGTTCGGTAGGTCGAGGCCAGCCACCTGGTTACGATGTGTCGCTAATGGAAATAGCAACATGCACACTTTCCAACGGTAATATGAGGTGAGTTAATTTCCGTCCCTATGCGAGGCCCACTGCACTCTCATGCATACATTGGTAAACAAGGACGCGCTTCCAACTGGGAACACGGATTGTGCCCAAGATCATTTGCCGACGTTGGGGCGCACGCGTTTGACCGGCTAATGCTAAAGTTACTACCTAGCCTCCTCTCTGATCTCCGCGCCTTCACCGCCATACCCTTTACGCGCCTCTTCTCGTCCGAGATGTTCGGCACCTACAAGCCGTCGCCCGAAGTCTACCTTGGTGCTGTCAAAGCATTGGACGTCGCGCCTGCCGAGTGTGTCATGGTAGCTGCTCATTTGAACGATCTTAAGGCCGCCAAAGAAAATGGTCTGCAAACCATCTATGTTGAGCGCGCTGGTGAGGAGGACTGGGACCGTGAAGAAATTGAGAAAGCACGCACTGCCGGCTGGGTGGATATGTGGGTGGGTCTTGGTAATGGCAATCGAGGCTTCATAACGGTGGCAGAAAAGCTGGGCATCGCGGTGACAAAAGGCAATGAGGCGACGCGGCTGAGCTCCTCCCTCCCCATTGGCATGGATTGATGATGCCAATCTGGCGGATGCCTCTTTCTCTCTCCCCATGTCAGATTATGGGTGGGTTAGACATGCGTAGTGACGCGTTATGTTTAGATGTCTCGGGATCCTATGGTGTGCAAGACTCTTGTGACGCGTAGTGATGGTTTATTTCGCGACTTGTGATCATTGAATCATGCTGAAAAGATAGAATAGGGAATATGTTTAGAACGTGTAGTTCAGGCGACTTTTCAGTGCGCGTAATGAATGATATTGTACGTGGTGTGGTGTCCAGGTGTCTACTTAGTCTCCCCTGGTGTTGCTTGGCGCGACAAGTGAACACATGTACACAACAGCTTGTGTGACACGACACATAACGATCAATGTCATGAAAAAAATTATTTGGTATGAATACGCGTAGAAAACTTCATATGTTGGTTCTTTGAGTGATTTTTTGAGATGATGTAGTGTTGATTGAAGGTTTGTGAGTAATGTTACATGAAAACATTTCCTATATTTTTTGACAATAGTCAATTATTACAAAAATTCACGCTGCACCCCCAACAAGTCCGATGAAGCTCAAATTTAGAGTATATAGTACAACTACTCCCAAGATAATGATGCACCGGGTTTTAAAAGAATTGACACAGTAATCGCAACGTTCGACTGCTGAGGTGCATGCAATGACGTCATTGGGGCATTTCAAAATTGACATGACCGACAGCAGTGAACGGTGAGATCATTGTGAGATGGGAGAACATGGGCTATGAGAGCGGATTCAAATGGATTGACATTTAATTGACAGGTCGGTGGCAAATTATCATCGACGTCTAGTTTGCATCAACCAAAGTGCCTGGTATGGTAGGCATAGACTAATCACAGCGCCCGAAAGGAGAGCCTCAGATTCGATATAATATTATTGATTGAGACCATAGCAATTGTACGTAGCATACAATTACATGCAACGGATAGCACCGATGGAACCCAAGACACGTAAGCTGATGGCAAGTGGGGAGGCCACAAGTCATGAGGGACAAGTAGACGAGGACACTAGACATCACAAGGCACAGGAGAGAGATTGAAGTATTATGGTATCATTCCATGCAAAGCAGAAACCGACTGATATAACCGTGAACTCCGAGCCTTAGTATACTGTACAAGGCTATGACCATCCCACCGAGCACCGAAGCCGACCATGGACTGAACAAGTCGGCAAAAGTCGTAACATGAAAACCGTGAAGAAAAACACTCTAACCACCGAAACCGTAAAGGGTGCGGCCTTGTCGCTTGAGAGCGTAGACGACGTCGAGAGAAGTGACAGTCTTGCGCTTAGCGTGCTCAGTGTAGGTGACGGCGTCACGGATAACACCCTCGAGGAAGGTCTTGAGAACACCGCGGGTCTCCTCGTAGATCACTGCAGAGGGTTAGCGGTAGATCATGAGTAGGGAGAGGTCAGGCACATACTGGCTGAGATACGCTTGACACCGCCACGACGAGCGAGACGACGAATAGCGGGCTTGGTGATACCCTGGATGTTGTCACGGAGAATCTTGCGGTGGCGCTTGGCACCACCCTTTCCGAGACCCTTGCCACCTTTGCCGCCTACATGATGGGTTAGTGTGCTGTTAAAGACAGTGGACGCGCTGCTGGACGCGTCCTAGAGGCGGAGCGGAGCGGAGCAAGAGAGAGTACTCACGTCCAGTCATGTTGATGGATGTGTTTTGGGGAGTTTGTTGTTTCGGGGTGAGTGTGTAGAGTGGATTGAAGGGCGTAAGAGTGATAGGCGCGGTGAGATTGGATGCTGGACTGGAGACTGGGCAGGTGTAGTGGTGTTTATGAGGGCGAAGGGGCGCGTGCACGGCGGGCGCCAGATCACACACCTGCCACGCCGGATCAAAGTGACGCACGGGCGCGCTTTCCAGATCAACGACCGTGCCCCTTCCCTTTCGGGCGCGCGGCCAAGCGAGCCAATGGCGCAAGCGCGCTCACTTGTGAGTTTTGTTGCAGCGCGCATTGCCAGCAGTTTGGCCTTTGGTGTTCCTGGGCCTGCTTTGCACGCGCAACAAAGAGTGATTTTCCAGGCAACTGCCCGCCCCCCCGATTACCATATAAGCAGCGCCCGCCCGCCCGTCTCCATCACTCATCCACTGCACAGCTCCACTCATCAGCCTCATCAACACACACAACCCCTTTCCTCTACATCACCCACAACAACTATGGCTCGCACCAAGCAGACCGCCCGCAAGTCCACTGGTGGCAAGGCTCCTCGTAAGCAGCTTGCCTCCAAGGCCGCCCGCAAGTCCGCACCAGTAAGTCCCTTCTTACCCTGCCTACCATCGCCATTCTAACCATCTATAGTCTACCGGTGGTGTCAAGAAGCCTCACCGCTACAAGCCTGGTACCGTCGCTCTCCGTGAGATCCGTCGCTACCAGAAGTCGACTGAGCTCCTCATCCGCAAGCTGCCCTTCCAGCGTCTTGTCCGTGAGATTGCCCAGGACTTCAAGTCCGATCTCCGCTTCCAGTCCTCTGCCATCGGCGCTCTCCAGGAGTCCGTCGAGGCCTACCTCGTCTCCCTCTTCGAGGACACCAACCTGTGCGCCATCCACGCCAAGCGTGTCACCATCCAGAGCAAGGACATTCAGCTCGCCCGCCGCCTCCGCGGTGAGCGTGGTTAAACTTTTCACCTTCAACACGACATGACAACATCCTCGGGTTGGTGATGGGTCTTTGGTTCGGATAGTACAGGCGTTTGGGTTTTTTCATGGTTCACGGTCTTCAACTCGGTTTTATGAGTGCACACGAGCGGTGCTGAGCATGTAGTATATCCAGGCTAATCAGTGGTCACTGGTCGATATCCCACGAAATCAATAGATTTCCACTTCAAATCTTCAATGCTTGTGAACGTGACCTTGATCTTCCCCAATCCGGTGATTGATTTGTACGTCGCCAACTTACCAGTAACGTCATTTTGCCACACTATCTTGCTTAGCCGCACTACACCCATCTTTGAACATGACTAGAGTGGCAAGCGAGACCTTTAGCACTGTCGGTGTGACCGCGGTCACAAACGCGCTGATTCTCGTGTCTCGGTATTCTTTTTACAATCGCACTCTTGATCCTCACACATCGAATTCTGCAATGACCTGGCAACGTGAATTATCATCATGGATGTCGCCTCCTCGACTCAAGACGGCCGATGCACCGGCTGTTGGCCAAAAGGCACCCTCACTGCCCAGCTTAGAGGGATCCGTACAGAATGGCAAGCCAACCATCATCAGTTTCCTTAGGCACTGCGGCTGTCCTTGTAAGTAGTTCTATTTGGCATTCGGCCGATCTCTCGACCAAACAGTCTTGACAAAATCACTGTAGTCGCTGAGAAGACTTTCCTCGACTTGCGTGCCATTGCACCTACCAATCTAGATGTTCATTTCGTGGCTGTTTCTCACAGCAACCAAGAATCTACAGACAAATGGCTTGCTTCGCTACCCGACCCTTCGCGAAACAAACAACCCAATCTCTATGTCATTGTTGATGCGGAGCGTGAGACGTACGCTGCGTGGGGCCTGGATACGTCGGGCGTCTGGCACGTCCTGGCGAGCATGCCCAGCGTTCTGAAACTGGCCAATAAAGAAGGCATCAAAGTCAGGCCAACTGAGAGCGGGAGCAGGTGGCAGACCGCGGGCGACTTTGCTATCGATGGCGAGGGTATAGTGAGGTGGTCTAGGAAAAATGAGCGTGCAGACGATATGCCAGACTTCAAGGAGGGGCTTGATGCGCTGCTGAAAGATAGAGGCGAGTGAATTGAACCCAGCAAAGCCACGAAAGGCAGAAGTACAAAACTTTGTAGCGTTCCTTGCGACTACACCGTGTAGCACTTGAGTTTCCCCTTGGTCTTTCGTTTTCCTTTCTTATTCCATCGTTCGTTCCGCGTTTTGCAATTCACAATGTGGGGGCCATGTCGGCGCGTGATGTAAGCTTTTCTTATACACGCTCAATCGCGTCAAATATTCGTATAAATGAATACCTCAAGCTACAACACAGATAAAGCCAGTTGTGCCGAATAACCCATATGCTATTCATACGTGACCACCATGGGCAACTACAGCTTGGGCCCAGCTTGTGCTGAATGGGTGCAAAGGCCTATGACCTCATGAATAGAGCACTGCATAGGTAGACGCGAGAGCGCGTCAGCCTGAAGCGCGCCCCACCGCCACCGCAACCACACGCACCACCAGCACACTGCGGCTAGATCATGGCATCATGACAGCACCGACTGTGCAGCTAACGAACCAAGTGGGCGACTATGGCTCGGATATCGAAATCGAATCTGTCGCCACACTGAGCGATTATGGCTCAGACATTGACATCGACGACGACATCTTACTCGCAAGCGCCTTTGCCACGATAAGAGGCGCAGCTCCTCTCGACAGAAACGCAGTCTTGCCCAGTGTAGAGTTTGAACAAGGCGAGATTGAGGATGAAGAGCAGGATGTGGAGGGTTTTGTACACATACACAAGCCACCAGTGCTGCGTGTCGCTCAAGGCACGAAAAGTGCCCTGGCTAACGAGCAGAGGAATCCACAAAGCTCTCCTATACGAGATCGGTGTACGTTGGAAGTCGAGTACGACGAGAGATCGCGGCGAGCATGGAGTGGTAAGTCTAGTATTGCCGCAGCTGGAGAGTGTTCATGTCGACTGACGACTAACAGTCATTAGTTCCCTTCGAACAACCAGCCTTGTCTCGACGCTCACCATCTCGCTCGCGTCGTAGCACAGCAGAAGTCAAGCAAGACAATGGTTCGCCGCTCGAACGATTTCGTACCAAGCCCAAGAAGCCTTTGTCGGTAACAGACCTTGTCTCTCCGGCATGGTGTGAACTACAGTACTTGTACACTTTGAGCAAGTTTGGGCGCAAACCGAGAACACAGGCGATGCGCACGGGCTCCAAGATCCATGAAAAGCTCGAGGCCGAGGTGCATAGCACAGTACCCGTGCAAGTTGAAAGCAAGGAAGATCGCTTTGGCCTTCGTATATGGAACACGATATCTGGCTTGCGCTGTCTAAGTGAGACTGGCCTCACCCGAGAGTTGGAAGTGTGGGGGGTTTTGGAAGGCCAGGTCGTCAATGGCATAATTGATGAATTATCCTACCAGTGCCATGATACCGCTTTTGAAGAGCAGCTTGAGAAATCTAGCGCTGAGAGAAATAGCGGCATCATTCCTCTGCCCACGGGCCAGCTCAGAATCTCAGATGCCTTTGCCAAGAATTCCACACGAGGCATGTCACAGCCTGATCGTCAGATCTACATAACTGATGTCAAGACGAGGTCTTCAAACTCGCTTCCTGCTGGAGCCTCGTTGCGTCCGACATGGATGCAACTGATGCTCTATCATAAACTGCTCGAGTCTTTGTCGTTGAATACGGTAGATGCAGAGACCGTCTTCTCACGCTACGATTTGCAACCCCTCGAAAACTTCAGCGATACGTTTATGCAAGCGGTAGGCTGCATCGGCCCTCACAATCAGGCCCCTGACTATCCAAATCTCCTCTCTCTGTGGTCACTGCTGGTTACCGAAATGCAAATCGCAGTCCCTCCTACAAATCTATCACCCATTGTTCGCGCCGAGTTTCGCTATGCGAAGAATGGCCATGTCATTGGATCAGAGCTCATGGTTTATGACACTGACACCATTGACAAGTACATCGGCGATGAGATGGCGTGGTGGAAGGGGCAGAGAGAGGCAAAGGGAGTGGAAATAGAAGAGGCTTTCAAGTGCAGGATATGTGACTTTGCTGACAGCTGTAGCTGGAGAAGGACAAAGGTTGATGAGGCTATTGAGAAAAGTAGACTTAGGCGAGCAGCCAAGGAAAAGAGTGCTGTATAGCCAAATGACTAGGCATTGAATTGTCTATCATCTTGCAAAACCTGCATCATATGCATTATAGTCTGATCAACGTGGTAGAGACTTGTTTATATCTTTGATAGTCTATATGTGACCCAATAAAGGACACAGAATCAGTTGCCTGTTCTAGAAGTGTATGGTCCACCTTGCAGAGATCATCTCGAATAGGAAACACTGATACCATAAAACACATGGAAACTGATCATGGTAATGGAAATAAATAACATGCCAATGGGCTATGCACTATCCAGATATCGCACAACATCACGATTTACTGACCACTAGGAACCTGGTAAGGCCCATAGCCTGGCTTTGGGAATTTGGGCGTACCGTCCTCGTTCCAGTCAAACTTTTGAGCGCGAATCGTACGGGCACTCCAGCCGTTGGTCGGATCTTTCATTCCATGATAGACGATCCAGTTCTCGGTGTTGTCGGGAGAAGTGGTAAAGGACGCATGGCCAACACCATACGCAGACTCGCTAGGGTTCTGATAGAAGACGGGATATGGGTGCTTCCGCCAGTCGCTGGGATTCATTGGGTCGTCACCAACAAGCTCGAGCTGGCCAAGGCAATAGTTGCGATTATCTGAGCGGGCGGCGCTGTAGATGAGGAAGTTTTGGCCCGTGGTAGGGTTGGTGAGCTGTTGAGGACCTTCGTTAGACGAGAGGCGATCGTTACTTGCGCGACCAAAAGGCGTCTTCTCCCACGCATACTCTGGCACCGAGATGACCTGGCGCTCTGAGAAGGGTGAGGTGGTTGTAGAGGGATCCGACATTTTGGTGATGCAGAGGTTGGCTGGCCAGCCATCGTACTTACGGTACCAGCAGGAGTAGATGTGATACAGCTGATCCCTGTACTGGAAGTATGTCCCATCTATAGCGAATTGATCATAAGTCTCGAGTTGGCCATGGTACCGATAGGTAGCAGTCCACGGATCTTGACCTTCACCAGCCACGACGAACATGCGGTGATTGACGGCGGGACAGTTGTATTCGCACCACATCTCGACCTCGGGGGGAGGCGAGTCATAATTGGGATCGGCAGTGAAGATGACCCACCAAGCACTGCCAATCTGATGGATTTCCGGAGCCCACAGGTCAGTTGAGTAGGGCTTGTTGGGCTCCGGGTGAAAGATGGTCTTTGACTCTGCGCCGTTCCAGTCTGTCATGGACTTGCTGCGCCAGAGAGTTATGTTGACGTTGTTGGTGTAGGTCATGTAGTAGAAGTCACCATGGCGGAACATCCAACTGACAGTGGTTAGCATTCATACTGCGGCGGTGGCAATCAAGCTTACGGATCAGCACCCGTGTCGACGATGGGGTTGGTGAAAGTCGAGGTCGAGTTGGCAGGAGGAGAGTATTGGCAGAGAGCGCCAACGGCAAGCGCCACAGTGACCAAGAGCTTGAACATGCTGAGGATGGAGAGAGGCGGCGGCTTGAGCAAAGCAGAAGGAGTTGAGGCGGTCGACGACTAGGCGAGGAGCAGGTGGTCAGGGTATTTAGGCGGAGAGGCGGGGTGGTGTGGAGCGAACAGTCCCAAAAGGGAAGTGACATGAAAGAGGAAACCTGTATTTATGTGTGAATGTACTATGTAGTATTATGCACACACAAAAACAATAGCCATGACGCCCCATCATCTGTGGGAAGAGTTTGCGCAACAAGCAAACATGGATCCGACTCTGGCAAGCCATGTGCTGTGACGGAGAAGTAGTCTCGCGGTGCTCTGTGACTACATACATACGTGGAGGCGGACCATGTCGGGTGGGCGGTTGACGGGTGAGGCTGGTGGTGTGGAAGCGACCCAAGCTTCCCCGCGCCGGTGGAGGCTGGCTAGTGCTAGTTGCAGGTCGCACCCACCACCATGCACGTATTACTTACTAGTACGTACAGAGCATGTAGGATAGGCTTGGCACCGCTTTTGCGATCCACGGAGCCTTACAAAGCCCTCGACTGCAATCATCATGAACAACTCGCAGTTCCGACGGCTGCTCATCGACACCCCTAAGACGCAAGATGGAGACAAGCAAAAGTCTCCAGCTGCGCCAACGCCGAGGGCAGTGCTGGGTGCGCGCAAACACTCGAGCATACCCATGACGCCGTCAGTGTTTCCCTGCAGCTGCATACCCGACTCCCACTGACACGCCCACAGTCGCCAGGTTGGAAGAGGCTCGGTGCAGGCCGACTTCGCTCGCCAGCTCGCCGAGCGCAACGCCAAAAACAACCCCCAGAAGAAGGCCGCATCGTCTGCGCCCAAGGGCACCAAGCTTGCTGCAGGATACACGGACCGCACCAAGACGCGTGTCGACGATGAAGACAACGACATCGCAAAACGCATAAAGAACCTCGAGGAATCTATGAAGCTTGGCCAAATCGACCGCGAGACATTTGAGAAACTGGTACAGGACATTACTGGCGGTGACGTTGGCACTACACATCTGGTCAAGGGCCTCGACAGAAAACTGCTCGAAAGAGTGCGACGTGGCGAGGATGTCCTGGGAGGTCAGGACAAGGAAGCACAAGACGAGGAAGAAGACGCCGACGAGGCACCAGATGTCGAGGACGCCTTCGACGAGCTGGCCGAAGCCGAGATTGGTCCTGTCGTGCGCGAAAGGGTAGAGAAAAAGGGCGAAAAGATATCTTCGCCGCCTCCAGTCGCGGGCGTCAAGCGGAGTCGTAACGACATCCTAAAGGAACTCAAGAGACAGCGAGAGGAAGCTGCTGCGGCGGCGGCAGCCGAGCACGAGAAAAAGTTCCCCACTCTAGGGCCTGGGTTCCGCAAGATAAACGCAAAGGGCGAGACATCACGCATCGAGACAGACGAAAAGGGACGCGAGGTACTCATCATCACTGGCCCAGACGGCAAAGAGAAAAGGAAGATCAAGAAGCAAAAAACAGAACCCCAACCCACGCCTGAAGTCCGTCATGATTTGGACGACGAAAAGAAGCCCATCAACATGCACAATCTCCTCATACCCAAGAAAGACGAGTCAGAAGACGAGGACATATTTGAAGGAGTTGGTTCCAACTACAACCCACTGGCTGATTTCGACGACGGGGACGACTCCGATGAAGCAACAACAGACCCACAGTCTTCTGTTCCAAAGGCAGGCAATGGCGGACAATTACCAGAAGGTGAGATGTCTTCTAATGAGACAGAGGCGAATAACCAAGAATCGCCCAAAGATGCCGTGTCTGGCGCGCCTTCGAAACGAGACTACTTCAAGTCAGTGGCCCGTAGCACCGATACCAGCCAAGGCTCAAATGTCACTGCTGCCGATGCAACTGTACGCGCTGCTCTTGCAAAGGTGCGAAATCTGGACGAGAACTCCACGCTGCTGCAGAACCTGGGATCGTCAGATCCCAGCGATCCTGCAGCAAAGGAGGCACGTCTCAAAAAGCGCGCCGCCGAGCTAGCTGCCACTGATCGCGATATGGAAGACATGGATATGGGCTTTGGCGCATCGCGTTTTGATGATGCTGAAGAGATGGAGAGAGAAGGCGAAAAGGTCAAACTTAGTCAATGGAAAGGGCTCGGTGCAGAGGGCGACGAAGACGAGGGCGAAGATGGCACAAGAGGCCCAAGGAAGCAACGCAAGCGTGGGGGCAAGAAGAGAAAAGGTGATAAGAACAGTGCTGATGATGTACTGAATGTCATGGAGAGACAAAAGGAGAAGAAGTCCAAGACACTGGGTTGATGTATTGGCTATAGCATGTTTGTACTATGATTGGACACTGTATCAAGTTCCTCTTGGGATGGTGTAATCTCTTGCGCCTTCTGTGCTGAATAAGATGACTACAGACTTTTCATCCAAACTCAGTCCAGCTTTTTGCATACTGCATACTTTCTTGAGTGCAGTCATTGTGGCTGCCCCACACGGACCATTCTTCACACCCCGGCTGTGTAGGTATTGCACATCGTGGTGCACATCAACGTCGGATACCGTGACACTTGCATCGACACCATGTTTCAGAATTTGCCATGCCGTCTTTGATGTTGTCCCGCAGTTCATGCCGTTCATGATTGTGTGGCTGGTAGAAATGGGCGTGATTTCACCGGCTTGCATACTAGCTTGGAAACTCGCCGCGACGTCTGGTTCAACCGTGATGACAGTAGCAGAGCGAGTCTGGGCTTTGTAATGCATCGTAACCGCTTGCGCCCACGACCCTACTCCGACAGCAGCAAATATGTGCGTCGCACCTGGCAGGCCCATTTCCTCTAATTGCCTATCGGTTTCTGTGAGCATAGTCATGTAACCCTCGACAACCCACTGGTCAAGGTCAGCTTCTTGTTTCGCGTCATATGCACGGGAGGGGATACACCTCTGGGATTTCTTCATAACCTTCCCAAGCCACATCCATAATTAACATGCCACCCTTGCCCGCTTCTTCCTTTGCCTTTGCAACAGAGTAATCATAGTCACCATCCACGACAATGACTTTTGCCCCCTCACTCTCGATTCTCTTCTGCGTGGCCTCATCCATGAAGTCAGGCACAAAGATGACGGCCTTGATCTGCAGGTATTTTGCCATTCTTGCAACCGCCCTACCCCAGTTGCCTTCGGTACATGTCACCAATTCTATACCTGCTTTCCGTGAAGCGTCTCCAAGCTCATCCAGTGAAGCTGAGGGTGGAAGGCCACACCTGGCGGATATGGCATTGTGGATTGCCCATGATGCTCCAAGAATCTTGAATGCTGGTAAGCCCAGACGCAGTGATTCATCTTTCAACAGGACGTGTCCGAGACCGAGTTCCTGAGCTAAGTCTGGGAGAGTAGTCAGGGGAGTGACGGCGTAGTCAGGTAGGGTCCGATGAAATGCCTCCACCACTGCGGGGTCCCCAGGAGCACCATGATATGTCCAGGTAGCTGCAAATGGATTTTGAAACATAGTGTATAATTGGCCGCGGTTCTACCTGCCTTGGCTCTTGCAAAACGTGGATGATGGTGTTTTGGGAATGCCGACAGCTTGTCAATGTGATTACTTACAGACTGCCAGTACTCTGCTCTCCCGTTGTTGCATATATGCGCATAAGCCACGCGTGTCTCCCCGACGGAAAGCGCCCTAAACCGGGTGGGCCTAGGTAAGCGTGGCGAAGCTCGTTTGAGAGCCCTTGTTTGGTATTACGGACACGCTACTCTTACTTAGTCATTGGTTGAACCTTTAGGTACGTCATTCCTGAAGTAACTTCCTCTTGGACGCGTCCCCTCCAAAGTCGACCTTCAGTCACTATTAGTAGAGCAAACAACACTAACATGTCGCGACCCAGGCCCCGGTCAGCTCTGGCAAATGTTCCAAGAGTTGTATTGCAGCCGACCTGGGACAACACTGTCGCGGCGTCGTACCTTGTAAAAGTAACTGATCATGTGCATATACACATGTCTTTTGGGCCAGCTAACAATGCCACAGGGCACCGTTTTCTTCATTGCGCACCCATTTCTTTACCCGCTGCTACAAGCCCGCCTACTTCCGGCATTTCTCCTCAGTGTGTTTGTGCTTCTCAACCTTTTCTTCTGGACCTTGCTACCCCAAGTCCTCTTTCTCAAGCTGTTCCACCCTGCGGGCAGTGCCTGGGTCAACGCTGTGTTTCTCGTCCTCGGAGAGGGAGCAGCTATAGTTGCTCTACTATTTGAGTCTTTCTTGGTGGTATGTACTCGTGCCATATTCACCGGCTAGGGCCAAGTGCTAATCCAGTGCAGGATGAATCTCAAGTCGATATTTTCGACGCCGTCTTGGTGTACAAAGGCTATGAAGACCTGGTCCGCCAATTTCGACCCCTCTCCGAAGATGCTATGAACGATCCTGTACGCCGACTCGGGAAGCCCACACGCCCCTCGGTCTATGCGCCCTTTTCGTTTCGTCAAATCGCCGAGTTCATTCTCCTACTGCCTATCAACTTTGTGCCGTACGTTGGCGTACCGATATTTTTGTTATTGACGGGCTATCGGGCGGGCCCACTTCAGCACTGGAGGTACTTCCAGCTTCTTGGCTACGACCGCAAGCAAAGGAATCTTGCCATCAAAAGGCGACGATGGCAATACACTTGGTACATGACTCGCATGTAGCAGTAGGAATGCAACTGACCAACGACAGGTATGGGACAGTGTATTTGTTCCTGCAACTTGTGCCGCCATTCAGCATGTTCTTTCTCATGACAGCGCCGGCAAGTTCTGCTCTATGGGCGGCTGATCTGGAAAGACTACGACGGGAGCGGGAGGAGGTGAATCCGGGTCATGCGCCACAATACACCGACGAGCCGGATGCGACTATCTGATTATAGGTGGTGTACTACTATATAACGCAATCGTTTGCCCTCTTATTGGGATTCAGGGCGGGAAGCTCGATGCAATATCAGTGCTCAGGATCATGTGAACAAGCTAGCATGTTCTGGCGCGTCAGTGCTGGATGCGATCGGAGCTTGACGCGTTGTGCAAGCTCTCTGCAGCTGTCATGATGGCATCATGGGCGCAGTTGTAGTGAGTGACAAGCTGCCTGGGGGATAAGCAAGTGCATGGCGACTCCAATAACATGTGAATTGACTGCAGTCGGCAGC